CTTGCTGATTCATCCAGTGACAGTTTCCGGCCGCAAGTTCTTGCCCGTGACCTACGCCTATGCCACGACCGTCCGCCGGGCGCAGGGCGCCACTTTGGCTTGCGTGGCCCTCGTCTTCGACACCAAGATTCCAGACAGAGGCTATGCGTATGTCGGTGCATCTAGGGCAAGACGACATGACGATGTATTTCTTCTTGGGCGCATTCGGACAACGGATTGGCTGCCAGTGGGTGGACAAGCCGATCCCAGCGAACATCGCAAAATCGGCCCGCTGAGTGAGTCAACCAACTCAGAAGACAGCGCAATGCCATCTACACCCGACGAGAGTTCCCAGGACTACATGCATGACATCAGCAGCAACGACTTCGAGGAAACGGACATGGACGAGCCCAGCAGCCAAGATTTCGCGTTCTTGGCCCTCGAGGAAGCAGACTTGGATGACCCAAGCAGCCAGGACTTCAGCTCCTTCGGCACTGGCTAGCAAGATGAGAAGTCTCACCACTGTCGCAAGAGCATGCCCGATTTTCATGTTGCTTTGCAGCAGCAACAGCCTTTACAGCCATGTAGCGCTTCCAGTGCTCTTTGGAAAAATCATTGCGCCTCTGCAAACACCAAGATTCCACTGAATCAGCGTTGCATGCAGGCAGTGATTTTCGATTGGAACAGCCGCGCAAGTTTGCATGCCCTGCCGAGCCAGTAAAAATCGCCTAGCCTCTCGCCCAGGTCACATGGTCCGCCAGCTCAGCTATCTTGTCTGCATAGAGTTCGCGACATTCCCCAACCCACCCTACAACCATCACATGAAAATGCGTCAGCTGTCGCCGCATAGCCTGACATGTCCCCAACCCTCCCCAGAACCATCACCACGTGCTGGCTTGGAAACGAGATTTCGCCCTAAACTTCGTTAGGAACGAGATTTAGCCCTAAACTTCGTTAGGAACGAGGAATGAGATTTAGGAGTGAGATTTAGGAATGAGATTTAGGAATGAGATTTAGGAATGAGATTTAGGAATGAGATTTCGGAATGAGATTTAAAATTGAGATTTAGGAATGAGATTTAGGAATGAGATTTAGGAATGAGATTTAGGAATGAGATTTAGAAATGAGATTTAGGAATGAGATTTGGAAAACGACGGACGATGGTCATTTTGACCGGGCCCCGCCCTTAAAACGACGGACGATGGTCATTTTGACACCAAGTTGGAAGGCAAAACGACGGACGATGGTCATTTTGACCCGGGCCCGGCCCTTAAAACGACGGACGATGGTCATTTTGACGCCGGGCCGGAAGAAAAACGACGGACGATGGTCATTTTGACCGGGCCCGGCCCTTAAAACGACGGACGATGGTCATTTTGACACCGGGCCGGGAGAAAAACGACGGACCATCCGGGCGAATTAAACCTTAAATATATATATGTAAGAGATGGTTTAGGGTTTAGGGTTTAGGGTTTAGGGTTCAGGGTTTTGGGTTTTGGGTTTAGGGTTTTGGGTTTAGGGTTTAGGATTACTTGGTGGATGTGTGCGGGCTGGTGCGTGTGACATGTGTGTGCATGTGTGGGCTTCTGTCGTTCGCAGAGACTCCAAAACCTCCGGAAACAAGTAAAGCATGTGTACTTCAAGTTGTAATTGGGTAGTTCTCTAAATAAGGGTCCCTGTTTAGGTCCCCAATATGGTACGGCACCCTTATAAAAAGGACCCTAAAAGGGACCCTAATTTAGAGGACTACCCAATTAGGGCCCCGTGATACATTAAGATATATGCCTTCTCGAAGTGTTTCGTTTAGGGTTCAGGGTTCAGGGTTCAGGGTTTAGGGTTTAGGGTTTAGGGTTTAGGATTTAGGGTTCAGGGTTTAGGGTTTAGGGTAGGGAATTGGTGGGAGGCTTAGGTTGGGAGGTGTGGGATGGCACGGCATGCTGGCAGCTCTAAATTTATGACCGTCATTCTTGCTAAAATCAGACATTCCCAAAAATCCAATAATGAGGGATTTATGAAGATCAGGAATGAGGGGTGTCATCCTACCCCACAGCAACAATGAAGGCGAAATGA